TGTTTCAGGCACTCCCCAAACATCTCTTTTGTATTGTTTCCTTGCTGAAATGTTTTGAAGATGACATTTACCTTTGATACAATGAAGAATTGCTTGTATTTTCATTCCTGTAAAGATTGCTTTAATATAATTTTCCAACGCGGGACCTAGTTGTGCATTTTTTCCTCTTGGCCTGTTAGGTTAAAAGATAGAGGATTGTTTTCTTGCAGTATACTTACTTCTGCTTCACAGACAATAATTAGGAAGGCTAACCTTTCTACTTCTTGTGCAGGTAAATCCTCATACGCACCAAGTCAAATTATGTGATTTTGGAAGTGCGAAAGTGTTGGTAGGTCAATGTACTCATTAAATTTGTTTAACGATGTCTTTGACTTGGAGTCTTAAATTTTTTGGGGTGACTGACAGGTAAAAGGGGAGCCAAATATATCTTACATCTGCTCAAGATATTATAGGGCACCTGAACTGATATTTGGTGCAACTGAATACACTACGGCTATTGACATTTGGTCTGCTGGCTGTGTGCTGGCAGAGCTGCTGCTTGGACAGGTATGCTACTTGACTTATTGACTCGGGATTCTTGCTTTGCAAACTAGCATGAACCCATGCTTTGTCGCGAAAAAAATAATCTTTTATGTAGTTTTGGACATATCGAAAAATCATAATAGTTGAGTTTTAAGCGTGGTTCGATAATTGAGTTTGTTATCAATAAGAACCCCATAAAATCTACGCTTAATTTTCAATATTTGTGATTGAGGGAATGCATGAAATACCGGTCTATTATATAGTGACTTTCTAAAGAGATAGCATGAGTATCATCATTTAGCTTTCCATTAATTTTGTAATTACTTACGTCTATGCAAATAAAGTAAAGATTCAGTTTTCGTGATCATTCTTTTTTGTTTAAAAAAGTATTCAAAGGGAATTTAAATTTCAGTGCGAACATATACTTTATAACATTGCAATTCCTCTTTTATTTTGGTAAATGTCCAATCATCAAATGCATAATATTAATTTATTATTTGAGAAAAATGTTACTATGCATAAATTAAACGAATGATAATTATAATCAAATGCAAAGATTCAGTTATATTTGTATTTTTATCATAAACTCTGCAAATTAATCAACATAGATGAATGAAACGTACATTTCCTATTTTATCAAATATATTAAACGGTATAGAAATTATGTTGGAAAAAGGGGAACAGACCCATTTGGCTTTGCTCCTGTCACCTTATGTTAGAAAGCTAAGGAATTGCTGACCTAAAAGAACTCTTTTGTAAGTAAAGGTAGTTGGTAAGGCCCAATGAACTCCAATTGCATGGCATGCCCTAGAGAAGCCTCAGCATGGTACTAATTTTTTAGTGTATTGTAATCTGAAATGCTTAATCTTTTATTTCAGCCTCTCTTTCCTGGTGAGAGTGGAGTTGACCAGCTGGTGGAGATTATCAAAGTAAGTGTATTATTTAGTTAGTGTTGTAGTCAGTCTAGGGATTTAGGTTCTCTTAGTTCATTTCATGGTAGAAACTTCTCGTATTAGACAATAGACACATCGTCCATTTTCTTTTGCCACCTTCTGTGTACTTGCTATTAACCGGTTTGCTTTGCAGATTTTGGGCACTCCAACAAGGGAGGAAATTAAATGCATGAACCCCAATTATACAGAGTTTAAATTTCCGCAGATAAAAGCGCACCCATGGCACAAGGTACTTGGATAGAATAGATGGGTCGTATGCTCTTTGCGCATGCATAGGTGTTGGGTGTCAATAGTAGTGGCTGGTTCCCTGTTGTCACTTATTTTCTTTTTCTTTTCCTATTAGATATTCCACAAGCGAATGCCCCCTGAAGCTGTTGATTTAGTTTCAAGATTGCTGCAATATTCTCCCAATCTGCGATGCACGGCTGTAAGTGTTTCTATTTGGTTACTGATGAATCTGCTTTTTAATTTAGTACATTGCTAGATGTTGTTCTGTGCCTTCAACTTTTGCATTCAAATGATTACCTCATTTCATAGTTGATTTATCATCTGCCTACCCCTTGAGTAATATTGTATAAGAAGTGGGATTTTGTGTTTTTTTATTCATTTTTCTTCTTCTGGTGGTGTGACTCACGAATGTCGGGGAAAAGGAACACGAATTAACAGAAGCTCGACTGGGAGCTGCATTGATAGGCCCAATTCGTGTCTTAATTCGACTAAGAGTTTGATTACTTCGATTCTGCGTCTTTTTTTGTAGTTTCTCTTTCCTGAAACTAGCTTCTGCTAGTTCAAGAGTTTCCTAATGTTCTTGTGAATCAATGTCACCACTCATTGTGTCATTTTTTAAAGTATGATTGATTATGGCGTATTCCAGCAAACAATCCATCAGGGTCGTCACTAAGGCACTGCCTTTTTTTTATTTTATTGCAAGGCACTGCCTCAAAATACCTATATCTGCAGCTGTTCTGTATGTTTCCAACTATCAATTTATATCTGGAATTACCAGGAGATTTCGGTAGCTACAGTTGTAATGCAATATCTATCTTCTATCTTGCTTCATGGTTTCTCTTGGCCATATTGTTCATTCTATGAGAGAGATCAACATTCAAGAGATAGCGAACTATCTTATTGATAAACTCACAAACGACTCTTGGAAATTTTAGTTGCGGTAACATTTTGTTGGGTTTGATAACTGGTAGGATTTAGTGTTTCCTCTCCTGCTAAGTTCTGACTTGGGCTATATCTTGTCACTTGTGGCTATGTAACTGCGTGAATAGCCTTTTTAGTATTCATATCATTTGCTTGATGATAGAGTATAAAATAGTTGCTAGGAGAGACTCTGTGGACTGTGGTTATTAGTTTTCTGGGCGTCCTAGTGAGTTGCATGTAGAAACTCTGGACTAGATTCAAACCATTGGTTAGTTACCCTACATCCATTTTGCAGCTTGATGCTGTGACGCACCCCTTCTTCAACGAGCTACGCGATCCCAACACTCGGCTGCCAAACGGACGGTTCCTGCCGCCACTTTTCAATTTTAAGGCCCACGGTACGAACTCGATCTGCGTCCACTTTATATCATATTCTTATACTAATCACTCGGAAAGCTCACCGATCTCGTCCTCGCTGCTGTCTCTCCTCCATGAAATCAGAATTGAAGGGTGTCCCGGTGGAGGTCCTGTTGAAACTGGTCCCGGAACACGCGAGGAAGCACTGTCCTTTTCTTGGGTTGTAATGCCTCGATGGTGTTTTAAGAGAATGTAACAAAAAACCCAAGCTAGTGTTGTTTTTTTTAATTATTATAAATATTAGAGTCACCGATGATTCCCTCGTTGCCGCTTTGATTTATTATTCGTCTTCTTCATGTGTAATCTTGTTCTGTGCATCACTTCCTGTGTCTATTTTTAACTATTATCAGCCATGAGAGTCGTGACCTGTGTGGCTAATTTGTAATCTTGAATGACTAGTAAGTGCGTGCGATTACCTGTTGTGCTACTGCTACTTTACATTTCACCATTGCCCTTTCAAACTTGAAAGGGATCTTTTATTTTGCGGCAAGTGAGTGGAATATATTGTCCTAAAAAGATTGCTTATATCACTTGAAATAATTTGTAGTTATTTACTATTTTATGTAAGCGATTGGAGCGATTGTTTTTGAAAAAATGTTTTTCAAATTGTTCATTTTTTTGGTGGGATGGACAAACCTTAAATTTGGTTTGGTTTTGTTTTGGTTTTGGATTGAATCCCAAAGCGGCATGCTGAATTGTGGCTTCAATAATCTCCACTGAATGGAATGCTAGTGTATCTTACAGTCCTTTATTTCGTGCCAAACGTGCAATTTGGATCTTTGAACTCTTAATTTGTGCAATTAGGTATCAAATCCCTTCAATCATTGGCATACTTGATTATGCTAATGTAAAAAAGACACTAATTAGTCCTAAAATTCAGGTTACCGTAGTGCAACGTGAAACTCAACTTCGACATAATAAAAGGAGAAAAATTTCGAACGACAGAAAGAGCAAGATGGCAAGGGAGAGGAGCTGTTTAGAGAAAGAGAGAGAGAGCAAGCAGCCCTGCCGCCGCGACGCCACACCGCAGCTGTGCCGATCCTAATGACCGGGGGCACCGCCATCATAACCACCGTACCGCGAGCAGTCTGAGCACAAGTGCCACAGCTATGATAACAACAACATCGCGCGCCATTTCCACCGACGAGGCGATCTCGAATTTTTCTCAACGGTTAAAAATGTCCTTGGACCTATTTTTATTTTAATTGAATTCTTAAACCGTCCATTTGTTTGTTCAGATGGCGTTAAGATAGATTGGCGCACCAATATCGGTTTGAACTTTTATAAGTACGGCATCGAACTGATTCAAAGGCCCGTGATTCTAGGTAGGAGTCCAACTTTTCATCTTTGACTTTGCGAAACTTTTCTATATAAGTCTATTCAACTCCAAATTTGGTATATTAAATGGAAGATAACAAGAGAGGTTGCAGAACATATTCCGTTGTTAGACAAAATGATTCAGGACACAACCAAGCAAATGAGATTTCTCGAGACGGATGCTGCGTTCGAGTCTTTCCACACGAAAACTCTTGGCGACATTCGATGGATTAAATTGGACCTTTGCAAGTCCTTAAAAAGGCTACAACCCAATATTCTAGGGTTGTAAATAAGGGGATTTCCTCTTTTCAGAGAAGAAAACGCATTTAGTAGGAATTAGGCGTGCAGGGCATTGCAAGCATCAGCACGTAAAAACAAGGAACGCGTTTGTGGAATTCACCAAGAACATTGGCACGTAAAAACAAGGAACGCGTTTGTGGAATTCACCCGGCAAGAACGAGATTTTGTCCAAGTTTTTCCATGCGAAAACTCGTGGTGACAGACATTCGATGGATTAAATTTCAGACCGCGAAGGGATTAAATTAGAAAAGATACGCCAAATTCAAGGACTCGATTTGAAAAATCGCATGAAATTCAGGGCCTAAAAGAGGAGTTTTGCTTCTTTTAACTGGAGAGAGAGAGAGAGAGAGAGAGAGATCTAGAGAGAGATTTAGAGAGAGGGACAGAGGGAGATGCCGTTGGGGAAGTATTACTGCGACTACTGCGACAAGCAGTTCCAAGACACCCCCTTCGCTCGCAAACGCCATCTCCAGGGCCTCTCTCACCTCCGCGCCAAAGCTCTCTGGTTCGATTCCCTCCTCCTCCATGGTATATCTCCCTCCCTCCTCCTCTGTCTCTGTGTGTGTGTGTGTTTGTGTTTGTGTGTGTGTGTGGGTGTGTTTGCGCAGCTGCAAACCGATAATTCGTCGACCCATTTGGCTATTGATCGCAGAACCGAACCAGGCGTTTGTGTGTGTGTTGTGTGTGTGTGTGTGTGGGTGTGTGTGTGTGTGTGTTTGCGCACCTGCAAACCGATGATTCGTTGACCCATTTGGCTACTGATTGCAGAACCGAACCAGGCCTATGCCGAGGGCTACGTCCGAGGAGTCTGCAACCGTTTCGTCAATACGGTAACACTTCGTCGTGTCGGGTTAACCGTGTTCTCACCCCAATTGCTCTCGCGAGATATGAATTTGTGCCGTCGATGATGCGTTTGATGAATGAACAGTTCATGGGTCTCTGCTTATTTTGTCTCGGGTTTCGCCAGGGCTTTTGTCAGTACGGGGATACGTGCAAATACTTTCACCCCAAGAACGTTGCGACTCCAGCTCCGCGAACCCCGAGGGGTGGTGGGTTCTGAAATTTTTCATTTTTGTCCTGTTTCTTTTATGCTGTTGAGGGAATTACGTCCGTGGTTTTCTTTGCTTACTTGATTGTTTGTAACGTGTTCGGGGTTGTCGTCGCAGATAATGTTCGGTCAATGGTAATCCCAGGCAGTCATCTAGTTGAGGGAACCTCTTCGCAAGGTAATCTCTATGAGAATTTTGTTCTCGTTTGCGTGTTTTGGATTGTTGTATTAAACATTGCCAGTGAGAGAAAGAGAACAAATCTGAGATGGTGCGCATTTGAATTTAAGTACGCGTGCATAGCATTGCTTGTAGAAATTGTTTGTTTGATAGATGGAGCGCTAAAGGGAAGTCCGATTGGTCTGTGGCTCAGAAATAATTTGCCAAAAATCATAGATGGAAGAGATAAAGTCTATGCTTTTCAAAACTTTCTACCAATGACTACTTTACTTTACTGGGACAGACAGCATCTCTGACTGGCAGAATTGTTCCAAAAACACATCTATTAGTATTATCTACAAATCTAATAATGACTTATTAGCTTCCATCGACATATTCTTTTATGCTTCAAAACCATGATATTCCAATATGCCCTTCATTTGTGTGTTCTTTCAGTGCTTATTTCTATGGATTTCTCCATCGCTAGGTAATGTGGTGGTGACAGATAGTACGGGCATGGCCACAGCCTGGGGTATTCTCCCTCCATCCCTAAAGCCTCCACCTGAGGGTGGATATCCGCCTTTGCCTTTCCTTGACTGGGGATAAGCATGTTGTTTCATCTGAAGCTTCGGGGATAGATGTAGCAAGGAATCGGTGCATCGTAATCAATGTGAGTGATGTGGTTAGTCATTCTTGTTCAGCCATGAGCTGAAACATCTGTATGTAGGATGTAGCAACACTAGGTCATTGTCTTCTGCTGTTCCTGGAGCATGTAGCTTATTGTCACTCTTTGGTGCAGTGGATTGGTGAGTTCCTTATGTTTACCGGTCAATGAACCATCTAAACCTCTGCTAAAAAACCTGAGAACAATAACAAATAACGCCATGGAAATAGAATATGGTAAACTATACATATGAAATTCTACAAGTAGGAATTCTCATAAGTTATGTGTCGACATTTTATCCCGACTCCTGGAGACGTGTCCAAGCTTGTGCATGAAAATACATATTAGGAAAAACCAAGATATATATGAAGCCAACTGCAGCTTGTGCATGCATCAGTCATCAAAATATGGAAGTGTCAGATGTATCGCTTTTTTCCTGTTGAATCTGGATAGCGAAAAATAGCTTTATCAGCTTGGTGCCTGTTGCAAATCTTGGGCACCAATATTGACTCCGAATGTAAGTGAGAAGTCTCGTTAGGTTTTGAATGTTCATGAAACATGAGTTGCATGAGTTTGGGTCTTGTTTGCTTGATGTGAAGTTTATGGCGTAATGCAGGATTCGTTCGTATTGATAAGAATGTACGGAGGCATCCTACATTTATACAGCGCTAATTACCTCCAGTCTTATCTCTCATCTAAATTGGCATGACAGCTATGTAATAAGTAGAACTGGATGTGGACATACTTCAAATGCAATCATCTGTGGTGCCAACCATTGTAGGAGGTTAAGTAGTTCTTGTCAAACAATATCATTTTACTAACAAGTTAGCTCATAATAAGCCTGGCTTAAATTTTGAGATCCAGGATCTCCATACAAGTCCGAACTTGCCATTGTCTTGTTGGCGGAGCTTACTCATTGAACACATTGCCTGGATCCGATGTCACTTATGGTCTATATTCCTTAATGCTGAGGGGCAGGGCTAGACAAGTATAACTTCCATATAAGTTTTTGTCGACATATACCACTGAACGACATTAAATTGCTCGACTTATAGCTTCTAAATAAGTTTTTTGTCGACATGTACCGCTGGACGACATTAAATTGCTCAACTTGAGTCATGTGAGCCAAGAGAAATTATGCAAGATCATGGTTTGCTGGGAAAGTTGAGGATTCCTTTTTGTCTTATTGAAGAATTGCAAGTACTTTTTTCTCCTGTGTAGACCTTTGCATTAAGAGCACTGAGGGTTGCCTTCTGACTCAGGTAAGTAAAAATGTTGTGTTGGTCTTTCGGTGTCACATGCTGTATGTTTCTCTTACAAGTACGATCAGTTAGTGAAGTAGCCATGTTGCATCTGAATGGAAGATTGCATGTGAATGTCATATCCACCATATGGTTGAGGCGTGGTTCGTAGGTAATGTCGTTATTTTTCTTAGTTCATAAATGCCACGCCACACGATGACCGATTTTGACATTGTTTGTTGAGGTGACAGCAATAACAACACGACAACGACAATCCAAGCCTCTCCCTAACTAAGCAGGGGGCTGGTTGTCTGAATCTTTTCATGCCGTTGCGGTCGATCATTCTGTATCACCTTGTGGGCACCACTCTTCTCGGTAGTAAATGCTACTGCTCATACTGATTGATTCTTGCATTCATAAGTGAGTTGGGATCAACAAACACCACCACAGCAACAATGAGAAAAGACACAAGTCCAAGCCTTCTTCCGACTAAGTGGGGTCTGTTGTCCATGTCCTTTCACGCCATTGTGGCTCGAGTCTTCTGGGAGCTCTAGGTGCTTCGTACATTTCTTTATCGCCTCCTTCAACACATCTTTAGGTCTTCTCTTGTTCCTAATTGATTCTCATCACCAAAGCATCCGAAGTTTAAACAAAGCTTAAACGAGCTTCTCTTGTCATATCCTCAAACAAGATTCATCTTTATGTGCTAGCACATCTTTTTGTACGTAGCACATCATTTAGGTCTTCTCTTGTTCCTACGTTTTGCATGAAATTTGATTGGAAGGATGTTCATGGAATGATGCTTAAAACCATCTGTTTCCCTTCTGCTCGACACCTTTGCGGGGTGTGGCCTTTCCTTTCCTTGGATAAGTCCCAAAAGAACCAACGCGTTGTTGGCCCAAAACAAGCATGAATGACTTGCCAAGAATCAGTTTTGAAAAGAAAGCTTCAAACCTGATTTAAGTTAAGGGCCGTTTGTTCGAAAGAAAACTATTTTTGAGAAATTGTTTTTCGACTTTCCGGTATTTGGATGATGGAAAGCTAATCGATATACGGAAAACGTTTTCCACGATTGAAAACAAGTTTAGAATCTTTTTTCCTTAAATTACTAAACAAATGAAAATTCCATGATAAAGGAAAATATTTTTCATGAAAATCATATTTAAGAAAAATTGTTAGTTTTCATTCGTTTGATGGTTTAGAGAAAGTGATTTCCTTCTTCCGAAAAAGAGAAGTTGTTTTCCTCCCAATCTAAGCTTGTTGTTTGCACTCCATGGAAAATTAATGTTTTTTGTATGTCAATTAGCTTTCCGTCATCTAGACATCGGAAAGTCGGAAAAAAATTATCCTTCAAACAATCGGACCCTAAGTTTATCAATATTTTCTCAAACCAAATCTAAACCAATCCAAAAGAGGTGCGTTGCAACTAATCTCGATTGAGGTGGTGGTTGTTGCATGTTTGCAAGTATGCAGTGACTAGAGAGGTGGAATCTTTATCTGCTTCTCGATTGTGATCTATTTCTCTATTAGTCTTTTCAGTTGCATTTCAATTTTGTAATGATTTTAGAGATCTGTAGGAGATATATCCTATAATTAAATAACCTTATAACAGGGCCCTGGTGACCCACGTTTGGGTTGGTTTCATTGGCTTCTTTGTTTGGCTGTCCAGCATGTTCTCCTTTCCAGTTCATTTCCAAGAGCATTCGAGGTGATGCTTTAATAATTCTTTGGAATGGCATCGACAGTAAAGCTGAATGGATACGACAATGAAGTTTTCTATCAGTCAATCGAGCCAAGTCAAGTCGAAACACTTAATGCCGAGCTCGAGTTCAACTTGACCCACATGCTCGATGGTCGAAACCCGATTGAGCTACGATGAAATATTAATTCTCGTACTCAAGCTCGACCTGAATAGAAAATTGAGATACTCGAAATCGGCTTGTTAATAATTAGGTTTCCATTGAGCTCGATCACGAGTTTCACCTTAATAAACTCAAATGCTTTTCCCAGATATAACTTGTATTTTATGTTTGAATTTATAAGTACTGAATTCATTCTAAGACATAGATAGGAGGTTGATTAAGCTCACAGGCCGATCGAGTCGAGCATCGACGAGTACACGTGCGAGCTCGACTAGACAAGATACTTGAATAGATCAAGAGCTTGAGCTCGAGGTATATCGATTGAAAATTAGGTGATTAGTTGAGCTTGAGTACTTAATCGAGGAGCCGAGCTCAAGCTACTTGCTTATGTCACGCGAAATTGCTCATTGCCTCATAACCCTATTGTACATTAGCTTTCACAAGACAAAATCAAGAAAACAAGATTGCCTAATCAAACTCAAATACTAATACTACTTGGCCCCTTGTCAAAACCAAAATCGTTTCCACCTTTGTCATCTTACATCAACGAATGCTTTACATTCTTGTCCACCCAAAAGTAAGAAAAGCACATATATTTTAAATAATCATATAGTCCTGATCATTTCCAAACGCAGAAGACATTAGTAACCAAATAATCAGCAAATCCATAATGAGGCTACGACTTGAAATTATTGTTTAGGTTGACCCATAAAACGAGTTTTTTCCCCCCCTCGTAATCCAATATCAACATCTATCAGTTGTGGCGAACAACTTGACGATGGCGATCTTCATCTGTCGGTCCCCGCCAATCCCATAATTTCTCTCGGAATAATTGTCGGGCGATTGAGGGTCCTGAGCCGGGACCATATAAAGAGGGGAGGAAATTCCAATTGTAGGGCACCATCTCCTCCACTTCTTTAGCAACTTTTCTTTAACTTTAGCACAACAGGATAAAGGAGCAAAGAATAATATATAAATTACGAGATAAATATATTAATCAAAAGCTTATGCGGCCAAATATGATGTATAAATTACTTTATTTGTTAGGGTTAGGAAGAGGCTAAGAAGCATTGTCTCAGTCTCATGTCATACTGCAGTCGTCATGCGCAGTGACGACGCCATTATTCTTGCCGAACCACCACCGCCCATCAATGATGAACCCAAGACTTTACGAAATTTCCCTATGTATAGAAAAAGACTTGCCCATAGCCCATAGGTACGGTCAAAATCTTTCTGATATATTTATATATATACGTCTCGAAAATTTTGATATATATATATACACACACACAATAAAATTTGCAAAAATCGCACTTCTAACATGCTTCCTTGTACACGCATGATATATCATTATTATCCAGCCGGCTTAAATTAAATTTTACGCATATTATCCATTTAATATTCAGCTTATGGAAAATATATATTCTTATAAACCATGAACAGTTGCTCACATATAAATATGGTTTATAATGGTAATAAATATCTACGAATTTCGATTTGTGCTTTCCTCAAAGTAATGGAAATTTAACTCAAGTCTACCGTATTATTCAGTAAATAGAATTTTGCATATGTTTAGACCTTTTTTTTTTTTTTGCATATGTCATATTAAACGCTTAGCATGATACTTTAATCAAATAATATATAATAGTAGAAGCATACTAATTCAATTTGGATAGAAATTTGTAGGGTAAAAGAGGCGGCAGTAAATCTCCTCGCCCACTATATTATCGACTCTTCTCCCTCATCCCTTCACCTTCAATCTCTCTCTCTCTCTCTCTCTCTCTCTCTCTCTCTCTCTCTCTCTCTCTCTCTCTCTCTCTCTCTCTCTCTCTCTCTAACGCGAGCTAGAGAGGAGAATGGATGGAGACAGGAAGAAGCGGAAGATTGATGCAGAGCCGGCAGGAGGAGAAGAAGAAGAGAGCGAAGAGCAGAAGATGGAGAAGTTCTTTGCCCTCATCCGAAGCACCCGGGAAGTGCGCGACCGCCTCCGAGGCGGTGGCCCGTTATCCTCGGAGGAATCCGAGAAATCGAGGGAGGACCGAAGAAAAGCCGAGGAGGATCGTCCCGGACCGAGAGAATCCGGGTGGAACCCCACATTTCGACCCGAGGACTTCAGCCTAGATTCCATTCTGTATAAACCTTCAGCTACCCCTAGCGCTCCCGATATCCCGAGCTTGAGTGACCGCGAAGCTCAAGCCGGCCCTTCCCAAAGTAAACAAGACGACGAAGGAAAAGGCGATGATGATAAGGAGAAAACAGAAAAAGACGACAACGACGGCGACGGCGATGGCAAAGGCGGTTTAAATCTCAAACTTTCTTTGTAACGTAGGGCCAGGATGGACATAGACAGAAGGACAGATTCGTTTGTAGTTCATGAACTTGCAGGGTCTAATCTCCGGTTAGGGTTTGGTGGGGCTCAAGGGACTGAGAACTGCATGGTAAAAAAACCAAAGTGTTCGATGACGCAACTGATGACGTCAAATGATTATGGGCATATTTCTCTTTCTTTTTTCTCTGTCTGCTTGTTGGACCATGTTGATTCTGTAACACAATGGTCCGAAACCCAGAAACAAAAATAATATTAAAAGGGAGAGAGAAGAAGAAGGAAAAAAGAAGAAGACAGCATCCAAGCATGTGATTCTGAGTTTTATGTGGGCAGATATTCTGCAAATAATTTAAGATCTCGTTCACATTATTTTTTTTTGCTAGGCGATATTATACATAATATATATAGAAGATAGAGAGATATTATGAGAAGGGGTAGATAGCATATCTTCAGCAGTTAGCACCATGTTATCGGGAGTTGGTTGCCTGTATTGGGATTACGTAATGGGTGAAGCA